AGGTGTCTCTGACCGTCATTAATCAACGAAGTAAACTGGAAGGAATAAAGTGTCATTTTCTGAGAAGCTGATTAGAAATAAAATACAAATGCTGGTTGTTGTTGTTTTTTTACATTATGTGAAACGGAAATAAATTCTTTTCATATTGCGGTTTGTTTTATTACCTAGCAACGTGAATATTCTTTCCTATTGAAGAATGGCGCATTCATGAATACTATACTATACTATACACAGACCACCCATTTTTACTCTTACTTTTTGTAAACTACTTAGACGATATGGCGGACTTGTAGCTTTTAAACTCAGACATATTTGTTCCTGTTTACGTAAAAATCAGCTGTCTTTCCTGACTAGTTATATTTGGTTTAATAGATTGACTACTGAGAAATAATATTTATTAATTGAAAAATGTGTATAGTACGTTACAGAAATTAGCAGTTTACTTTGAATTCACTATCTCGTTGTTCCTACCATTAAAGTGAAACTTGATTTTCTCACTTGACAAGTTATAGGCGAATGTGAAACCCTGCACACAAAGGGTTTCGGATACAAGTTTCACTATGAAAATTATCCACTAGATCGCAAATATATCAAGCTGACGAGTATGGAATAGGAAAAGTGATAGAATCACCAATAAAGTGAAATTTTTCAAACCATCAAAATGAAAGATAACATTAACTAAAATGTGTTTTTGTGCATCGGTGGCACAGCAGTTAGGATGCTCGCCGACCCGTCCAGGGTTTGATTCCTGGCCACGGACGCACTCCTTTACCTCGCTAAGCCAGAAATAATGCTGGTAAAGAGGAGAGGTTGGGCATGAGGCTAGCAACTCCACCCTCTAAAATAAACACTGCTACAGATACTTGAGGCCACTAGCTTGAGGCCCTATGTTCCACTGGGAACGTGAAGGAAAAAATATGTTTTTGCAATTTAGATCAAAAAGTAATTTCATTTGAAGAACATTGAAAACTTTGAAACACTGGATTCTTCAGTAGTACATGCCAGTCACTTCACTAAGGATTAAACCCAAGACACTAAGGTCACAAAGGGAGCTCATTGGTGATTCAGCCATGGGATGGGAACCAATGACCCACTGACCCTAACATCTGCCAGTTAGCGATATATAGCGTTACTTCCTACCAATTTCATCGGTGAATATTTGTCTTTACAGACAACTTTGTGAGTTATGGTGGTCACAGTTTCTCACTGGAACTTTAAACAACTTCTGGTTTTCGTGAGCGACTAAGTAGCATTAGATTGACTGTAAAGCGCTGTCTGCAAGACATTTATTGATTTGAAATGTGATTTCGAACTGTGATGATATATTTTACCTCTAAATATGTGCTCTTCAAAGGAATTATTACATCCTCTGTCTTTGTCAGAGTTGTAGCATAAATTGAGCATCTAAAACTGACTTTGTTCAATGCAGTCACTTAATTCTGAGAAACTATTGAGAAGCTCAGCTTGAAAAGAGTCTAAAACATATTTAGCGTCTATTTGAAGTGGGTCTGCTTGTTCAGCTTTCAGCGTCAATGTGAGGGGCTACTAACCATTCATATGAATCAGTATCATATTCAACTTAAGTATAACTTTTCTTACACGAACTTGTAGCAAATGCATTTCTCCGGTAACTTGTAATTACGTCACATATTCCCCATCAGTATTTTTCCGTATATTTACGATGAGTTGAAGAGATGATGTAAAAGGTAAGTTCCAGTGTGTAGAAACTACTCGAGTGGAACATAAGTAACATGTAATATACATATTCAACCTTCATTTTGCACAAAATGCAATTTCCAGGGTAGTGAAATGACACTTAAAAAGTGTAGGAAAGGTTAACCCCTCATTTTCGATAATGTAGATTAGAAACATTTTGCTTAAGCATCATTTCTGAAACTAGGCATGAGAGAATTTCACAAGAAAGATTTACATTTTACCAGCTAAAGCATCATCTAAATAACCTAATTCAAAAATTTTTGCTACAGGACTAGTGTTCTCGTGAAAAAGCCATAGTTGTTTCGGTTGGAAGTGTATTTTTATATTTCACAGCCATTTTACCTATAAAATAGGTAACCTGCCTTCACAATCAACTAGTCAGAGATAAATACTAAAAAGCCATCGAGATATACACAAACATTCTTGGTGTGGTGGTAAAAATAAGGTAATCTTCATCAAATCTAAGTGAACAACTTCTAGAAGATACAATCCTAATTCATCCTTAAAACATCGTCTTTGAAGCTACTGTTGGTCATATTAGGCACTTTACTAAATATTTTTTCAAATGGACAACAATCAAAACAGCCTTGTTGTAAACGTTTCTATGGGAAAAATGAATTAGCATGAATTTTTTGTTCATTTTACTGCTTTACATTCCGTGTGGACCATGGAGATTCAATCTTGAGCTGTAAATTTCAGTAGCAGTAGTGCCTTTTATGGGTGGAGTGGCTAACCTCACACCCAACTTTCCCTATTTCTTGTGCTTACAACCGACCAGTGGAGTTTTAGGTATGCGTCGGTCGACGGTCGAACCTTGAGACGCATGAATGATTGGTGAGCATTCTTTCGACGAACCATCGACGCAATATAAATATGTATATACACTCAGTTGTACAACTGAAGAACAGAATTAAAAAACGACTCATTGCATAATAATGGTTGATTTTTGCAGGTTTATCAGCTTGAATAACAGAAATCTGAAAATTTTACATGAATAACAGTCGACATGTGTTTAACAAAAAAAAATGGTGAACTTCATCATCCAGTAGTGTAATGGATTACTCTATAGCAGTTGAAACTATCGGTGTTGATTTTGAGTCCCTCAATAGGAACACTATCACTCGCTGGAGTTCAAAAGCTTTCTAATGACAATTTTTGTCCTGGAATTTATGTAGACTGGATTCTAGCGATGGCCATCGTTTCTGAAATGAAATCATATTTTGTTCAGGCTAAAAATATTCAGAAACTTTCTTGTTGTAGATCATTCAAGAATGCCTATTTTGTCTGTTTAGTGGCAAATCTAATATACCAGACGTCAGACACATGACAAGTGGAAGAGACATGAAAATGCCTTTCTATATGAAATAGTGATCTATACATTAAAGCCAAATATTGTAACAGATTAAGACTCTAAATGAAATCAGTTTAGCGCATATAAGACATACACATTATTCAGAATTTTGAGGGAAAACTTATTCTTTTCGATAAATTCCTCTTCTGGCTCTACAGTTATATACATGTTTATATACACAGAATATTCAAGGTTGGTAGTTAATAACAATATTAGTGTTTTTTAAATAATATCCATTTGTAAAGTATGATCAATGGAATTACAGTTCACTAAAAATACTTAAATTATAATAGTAATAAAGATATAATAGCGAGTAGAATATCAACTAAAATTAGGAAATTTCCACAAAAATTGAGAATCATTCAAACCTAGATGGCCAAGGTAAGGACAGCGTCTGAACTAACTTTTTTTTGGACGCACAAATTAGGCTTTTTAATGTGGATCCCAACAGCCTCAGCAATATTTAGTAATTGAACTCTCAAGGAGAATTGTTGGTATCCGGTAAATAACTCTAAAAGTCTGGTTAACATCAATCTTATGTTCTGTATCCACAAGATGAGCCACAATAGCGCTACGAATAGATTTTGTTTGCCTTTGCTTAACCACACAGGGTGATGTTCGGAAATTCGACGAGAAACACGCCTAATTGTGCGGCCTATGTAACTGGCTCCACAGGAGCAGTTAAATTGGTAGATACACATGGATGAGGCGAAATTAGGCAGTTTGTCTTTTACTCCCGAATGCAGAAGAGGAGTGATCTTAAAGATACAGCGTAATTCAGCAGCAGGGAATGCTTGTTTTACCGCATTTCTAATACGCTGTGTTAGTATCTCACTAGTGTTGTCCCCAAGGAACTGCATTGGGATCATACTTTACAAATCGATATTATTTAAAAAACACTAATATTGTTATTAACTACCAGCCTTGAATATTCTGTGTATATAAACATGTATATAATTGTAGAGCCAGAAGAGAAATTTATCGAAAAGAATATTCTTTGCTCGATTATTTTGTGTTTTATAGATATCTGAATGAATATTTTTGCTATAGGAAAATTTATTTTCCATAATTAATTAGAATTACCCAGATATTTTATTTATTAATTTCCTACAGATATTATACGTTGCATTTTGTTTACACCACAGTTTTTTTCGTACACTCAGGAATGGTTTCTAATTATGTATGTGATGTGTCCGCATAAAGTACACCTTTCTCTGCACTTTGTTGTACTAATTTCTAGAGCCTGGAATGTGTCAGGACGCAACTCACCATGAACCTTAATTTTTCGCCTTATCAGCGGATCATTTTTACTCGAAGCAACACTGGTTAAACAAAACAGTCTACTCGATAATCAACGAAATTAAATTTACACATTGAATGGTGAGCTACGTTACTAAGCGATTGAAAAAACCTGGTAGCACCTGGGACTCTTCATCAGTGGAAAGCTGTTACGTTTCAAAGCCAGTACCTTTCGGTTACAAGGTGAGCTCTTAGACCCACAGCCAATAGGACCCAGTCTGATGACATATGAATTACAGCTTCTGCACATTCGCGATATATATGTGTAACGTGACCACCAGACAGTGTCACTTGGCAAGCAATTGTTCTCCTACCTGATTTTTGCAGGTTACAACTCCTGCTAGAGGACCACAAGCTGGGAAAAAACCAATTTACCAAATTTTCTTATGTTTCTCTAACTTACTTCAACTCCTGATCATACTGGTACGCAATCAAGTGCATGCAAACTAACACTTCATAATAAATTTCACAATTACGTTAAAAAAAATAGTGTTCATTTGAGAAGACTCATTAGTTTGATACATGGTATAGTAATAGTAATAATCAGTGCGTATATACATATAAATATATATTTATATATATGAAGTTTTAGAAAGAGTTATGTACACTGAAGAAATACTTGCCAAACTCTCTGTTAAGCTTCTAACTTTATATTGGAGTCATTCATCGAATCCACTAGAATCGATAGGACATGTAATTTAACAATTGATGCTGTAGTTTCAACCGGATAAGTATCATTATTATTGTTATTCAAAAGTTCACAGTCTATCAAATGATTATTGCTGACTCCTTTGCTATCCAGTTTGATAGTATTACTTGTAAATATATCACATGGTTGACAACATAAAGGCTGTAAATTTACGAGTTTAATAGATACAGGTACTAAGGTTGTTGTTGTTGCTGTCGCTGTTGCTGTTGCCAATCGACTTGAAGCTTCATTTGATGAACATGTTGGTAAACTTGTTAGTGTTCCATGAAAATGACATCCAATATCTGTTATTTGTGAGTTGACTTTTTTTTCAAACTGTTCTCTTGTAAACATTTGCAATTTTAATAATTCACACGGTGGAATTACAGTATCTGTTGACGTTAGTGTCGATGATATCGTTGGCGTATTCATAGGAATAAAAGACAGTGAATTATCAATCGGTGTAGTTGAGATGCACGAAGTTATTGGTAATGTAAGATTGCATAGGTTAATATCATCTGATTTTATCGGTTTTCTGTAGTCAGTTTCTGCCTGTTTAGTAGACATCATTTTATTTTCTGTAGAGTTCCCTTGCTTTGACACTGGCGACATACACGACAAATAAGATAATAAAGATAAACAGTGTTTCTGTGTTATAAATACTACCGGTATACATACAGTGATGACAATCTCGACCAGTAGACAACCATTTAAATACCATTGAGGAATGTGTAAATTTTCATGAACTAATTTAAATAATTCAATATTTTCTGGTTCATGTAAACCTTGATTAAAATTCCATGAATGACAATAATTTATTTGTGATTTCATTAGCTTTCCATAAATAATTAATCGTAAAATATGATTCAATAATAAGCATAAACTTAAAATAATTAAACTTATTGATAAATGAATTATTTGATGTAGATTATATCGAGTTGATGTGAATAGTTTTTGTCTTAATAAAATATTGTCCACCTGCTGTAATGTCTGCTGATTGTTATCATTATTATTATTATTAGTAGTAGTATTAGGCTGCGATGGAAGTTCACACTGATAAGTTAAACATGATGTGGACAAATTGCATACCTCTGGGGAATGTGTTCTACTGTCAGTACTTTTTGTTGGTGAAATTTCTGCAATTTTTAGCGTTTCAGTATACCGTATAACATTGTTACTCTCATTGTCAATCGTATTATTATTATTATTATTAACCATTTGAAGGTAACATGGACTGACTTAGCTGACTATTTGTATCAAAAAGCTTATAATTGATATTACTTGATTTATAGGCTAAAAAACAAATAAAAATACTAATAGTAAAGACTAAAAAATTTGGCAGTATATCGCATAGTAGATTTGTAAGTATTTCAAACCATTGTTCAAAGGTAGTCCGATGACATACAGTATAGAAGTACAACTTTTGATGCTCTAAATCCCTAGTATTTATACATTCAAAATTTAATGCATGCTTTAGCATAACTGTTGAATGCCTTGAATCTGTTGAACGTTTCAGTGTAAATTTTTGTAAATTATAATTTATCAATAAACTACCCATTCTAATAACTAATGAAAATATCCATGAGATAATAAATACTATATACAATGGAATAAATGTATTTCTAATCATTGGAAGTTTTAGTGAACTCACAAAAGTAACTGATTTCATATAGTGTATATTGATAAGAATTATAATTAGCAAAGTGATCCAGTAAACTGTTAAAACACCAAGTGATATGTGTCTTGTTAAATAACACATAAAATAATTTCGATTATCTAAATTCGATTGTTTCTCATTGTGTAGTATATCGTTGTCTAGAATAAGATTTGATATTCTACGAATAGACATAATAAATCCATAAATAGTACCAACAAAACTTAAGTGTAACTCAGCTCGTAATGTCAACTGTTGTCGTCTTGTCGGTAAATCATTGATAATATGCAAAGGTGGATTAGGCTTGATTTGATGAAATGTTGATTGATTACAGAGTTTCACTAATACACAATGATACAGTAACCAAATAAACCAGATCATATGAACTATAAAGCAGAGTAAACCAAATGAAAATTTTAGTATATTCCAATGAAAATTATGATATTTACTTGACATAACATGAACTGACACCGTTGTTAAGCCTTTGGTTTAATAATCCTTGTATACTTGTCTTTTTGATCAGAAAAGTATGTTCTAAGATTATGTTCTTGACTATTATCATCCGCCAAAGTATTTGCATCACTACTGTAGTTTGATAACATTAATGTATGATCTAAATCTGTACTGTAATCTGTGAAATTCTCTGCATAAATCTGTGTTAGATTAACTGACTCACTCGAATATTCAATGTTCTTATGATTGTTTATTTTGCGAGCGTAATTATCTAATGCTATTTTCAATAGATGTACATCTTGCATAGAATTACTACCACTATGCCGGTGTGTATCTTTTTCAAGGCAAGTAAAGTGCTTTGCCACGACTCTGTATTGACAAGTAGAAAATTATTTATTATCATGATGATAATAGCTGTTGTTGTTGTAGTACTGACAGTTTTCACAAAGTTTTTAAGCCTGATCTTTATCTTCATTTGATAATCTCCAAAATTTGTGAAACATTAACCATTAGTAATTTCATAAGAATGCTGTAAAAAATATCCAAAGTTACTGGTTTAAGTTTTGACAGAATTATGCACCACAGCAGTAATACTGAAAACATCATTAATAATTGAAAGTATTAAATAACAGGGAAAAAATAAAGGAAGTCATGCATTTGTAATTTGCAAATGCATATTTAATGGAGATAACAAAACTTTCGCCACCTGGTAGTTTCAAAAAGAAAAAACAGGAAGGAACATTTTAACCAATCATATGATCTGCATAAATGACCAATAGAAACAAAAGGAATTATTAACTCGTCTATATTCCAACCAACTGAGAATGAATATTCTAAGTGCTAAGTGATCCAAGTGAAAACTTTTCAATCGGAGTGAATTCATACTTCATAAATGAAAAAAGATGAGAAACTTTACTAATAATTATAGGTTGAAAAAAATATTTCAGTGATAAGTGCAATGTCATTAAGCTCAGTAATCACAATGCTATTATCCAGAAGACTTATTTTGAAGCTATTTTGATAACCGCTGAAATTAATGATGCATTCGGGTATGTAGGCCCTGGGTTCTAGTGAGAAATTGTCACCAGCAGGATACAACAGGTCACGTGTGAGGATGGATACTCGCTATAGATGAGAGAGGCTAGTGGTTACGCTATATCACGCATTGGCAGAAGCTGGAATTCATGAGTCAGTCTATTGTGTCCAAGTAGCTTAATAGTTTACAACTTTCCTTGTGACCAGAAAGTCATACTTCTGAACCCTGGAGGTGGTTTTATATTGAGTAAAAGTCTTTAACTAGGACTTCCAAGTTTTCAAAAGTTTCCTTAACCAATGTCACCTTATGGTGGGGTCTTGTGACCAATCAAATCCCCGCAAACCAAAACTTAAAAGGTTTCAGCTGATTTAAACTTTTTATAAGGCATTAGTAAACTCGCCTAGTTAACTAACTCACTTGTTTTCTAGACGGTCCTAAGACCGGGTAAAGAGAGAAGGTTGGATGTGGCACTAGCAGTTTCACACTACTACTACCACTACTATCAAACTGCTAGAGAAACTTCAACGCGGAGAATTTAATTTAAAAATATATAAACTTCAAATAACAACATCCCCTTCTTCGCTTGAATCGGAGAGGCAAAATGAGTCAGCAGGCTGGTTAAATCCAGCCTGCGAGAAGTCAGTCAGCCGGTGTATCTTCTCTTGGTGGAAGCAAGAGTAAGACTGGGTATGTGAAATGTTGGTACAATTTACGAGATTGAGAAGGCTGTCCATGTAGCCAAAGAGATGCAAAGATATGGCTTAGAAGTACTGGGTATCTACAAAAGCAGATGGAGTGGATGTAGGTTGACAACACTGTCAACGGGAGAGGCAAAAATCTACTCCGGTCACCTAGATGACATACACGAACACACTTAGGCGGTGATTGGCTATCATGATGTCAGCAGTGGCAGTCAAAGCTACAATGTAGTGGGAACCAATCTCCTCTCACGGCATCATGAGAGCATGATTCACCTCAAGTGGAAGGAAGGAAAGTAACAGTTATCCAATGCTATGCACAGTGCTACAAATAACGTGGACCAAGAGAAGAATGAGGCGTTTCGCAGACAACTACAAACAGTTACGGACAACATCCCAAGTGGCGACACAAAAATCCTTATGGACGGTATGAATGCCGGCTGAACTAGTGTGGTGAGAGCAAGCTGCTAGCCGATTGGTTGGCACTAATCTACGTTAAGGTCTAGGTCACTAATATGGGCCGTGAGAAAATATGAACAAGCCTGAGTCAACAACCAATCACAGCAAAGTTAACGTGGCAAAATATGATTCGCAGAGAGAACTCTATTTGTCAAGGAATCCCGAAACAACCAATCAGAAGCCTGCGTTTGTCTACCTAAACAACCAATCAGATGACTGCGCTTGTCTATAATAATGTTGTCTGAAATATGTATAAATACGTGTTGATTTTCATAATAAAACGATCTGTTGCCTGGCCCTTGTCTTCTGTTGTTACATTTGGTGTCGCTGCCTACCGACAAATGAAAAGCCTATACCCTGCAGTTTTTGATGGAGACATATGGATCTTCGGGCAGGACTTCAAGGCTTCTGCGCAGTTGAGTGGCGTTCAAGATCTGTCAGCGATGAAGCTGCTACTTGGGACGCTGCTGGGAGGTCGGGTGAAAGCAGCATATGAAAGTGTGAGCCGAAGTATGGACGAATGTTCGACAGGGTCAGGCAAACAGTTTCCAAAGTGGGAAGGACCATATATGGTCACTTCGAGATGGGTTACGCAGACACAGTCGCAATGGCGAACAATAAGAGGCGCGTGAACGTCAGCGGGCTCCAGAAATGGATACAGCGAGACAAGCCAACGATGACGCCTGCACCAAGTAGATCAAGCCGACTTCAGTCGCACGTATTTGACGGGGGGACGAGTGTGGTGAGAGCAAGCTGCTAGCCGATTGGTTGGCACTAATCTACGTTAAGGTCTAGGTCACTAATATGGGCCGTGAGAAAATATGAACAAGCCTGAGTCAACAACCAATCACAGCAAAGTTAACGTGGCAAAATATGATTCGCAGAGAGAACTCTATTTGTCAAGGAATCCCGAAACAACCAATCAGAAGCCTGCGTTTGTCTACCTAAACAACCAATCAGATGACTGCGCTTGTCTATAATAATGTAGTTGAAAGATGTATAAATACGTGTTGATTTTCATAATAAAACGATCTGTTACACTAGGAGTGGATAAAACAGTAAGAGAACTCATCATGGGTTGAGAGGCTCTCACTCATAGAAATGGATGATAACGGAGAATTATTCGCAGACTTCTGCTCCTTCAACGGATTGACAATCGGAGGGAGCGTGCGCAAATACAAGGATATACACAAAGCAACAGAGATTTCGGCCGTCAGACACACTACGAACCAGATAGATTTCATCTCAATCTGAAAGCAGTATAGATGCAGCCTGCTGGATACACAATCGAGAAGGGGAGCAGATATGTCCTAAAACCATCATCTAGTTCGAGGAACATCCAGGGTGAAGCTGAAATCCATGCAGCAGGTCGGGTGTGAGGATAAATACTCGCTAGCGGTTGCGTTATATCGTGAACTGGCAGAAGTTAGAATTCATGGGCCATTGGATTGGGTCCCAGTGGCTTAATGGTATACGAGCTCGCCTCTAATCCCGGTGGGTGCATACTGCTGAAGAGTCCCAAAATAGGATGAAACAGCTATTCAGTACTCCCAGGTTTTCCAATGGTTCTCTGACTAATGTCAGATCATGATGAAATCCTGTAACCAAAACAAACGGAGGCAGACCACTACTCAAGTTCAAAATTCTGAAACTGAAGGACAAAACTACAAGGGTTGCCTTCGCTACAGATCAGTTTAGAGCACAGCCGGACACACTACGTGGCTTCGCTGAGGAAACTGGTGTGGAGAACATTGGAACTCTCTGAAAACAATATTTAAAGAACGGTGTACATCTGTTTAAGGATAAATGAATAGACGCGACAAGGAATGGCTTTCAAACGACACCTACCTGGAAGCTAATAGATGAGAGTAGAGGAGGCCCGTGAAAGAGATGACTCAATGCTAAGATAGACAACAGAAGGAGAAGCTGAGTTCAGTGCAGATTGTACTGAATAAAGAAAGAAGTGAAGAAGAGTGGTAGAAAAGACAAACGACAATTTTACAACGCATTTGCCGGGAACTGAAGTAGAACATGCAGACCGAAGGCAAAAGTGACATCAGGACACTATATCAAATAACCAGATGATGAGACTTATAAACGTTGCTCAAGAGAACCTGATCAATAAGGATGACAAAAAATCAAACAATGGACTAATCACTTTGAAAGACCCTTAAACCGAACACCACCGGCCACTCGCCCATAAATACCACCGACAGCTCACACGGAGATGCCTGACAGTGGACACCACTCCTGCAATGAAATAAGGAATCCTGAATGCGATCAAACTACTGTAGGGAATTCGGGAAGGCAGCAAGAACAGACGGCATTCCCCTCGAAGCACTGAAGACAGCCCCAGAGATTACGGCAGATTTTCTCACTCCGTTACTGCAAAAAGTTTGGAAAGAAGGAAAAGTGCCTACTAGTTGGAAGAAGGGCTGGCCACCTCATCAAAATGCCAAATAGGGCGACTTGGGCGTGTGCAAAAAGTGGCATGAAATCGTGCCAATCTTGTCCACACCAAATAAAACACTAAGTCGCATCATCCTGAAGAGAATAAAGGATGCACCGGACACGGAACTCCACCGCTTGGACAAGCTGGATTCAAGAAAGACAAATAATTTGCTGATCAAATTGCAACTCTACACATCATCAATACCATCGAGCAAAGCATAGAATGGAAGTCAAATCTAAACCTCACCTTCAGCGACTTTGAGAAGGCCTTTAAAAAACAGCGTAGACCGAAAAGTGATTTAGAAACCACTCCAACACTACGGCGTACAGTGCCCAAGTCTTTGTCAACCTCATTCAACAGCTGCTTATATGAAAGTGCCACGTGTCAAGTGATGCACAACAGAAACTTCAGCGAGGTATTAGAAGTGGACACAATAGTAAAACAAGACTGGTTATTATTACCAACGATGGTATTCTTAATTGTGGTGGACTAGATTATGCAGAAGACTGTGCACAGGCAGTGGGGTGACAGGAATACGCTGAACCACCGATAAGAAGACTCCAGAAGATATGGATTTTGCGCGCGAATGAGTATTATGTCTGATGCCAAACAAGCTCGAAGACTTGCAAGCAAAAACCAACAAACTGGCTGAAGAGGCAG